GTGATAAAATCGATACTTCTCTTCAACTTACGAACATGGCATAAGTGAGAAATACGTCGCTGTACACATTATTTTTTTGAAAAGGAAAATTGAATTTTCACAAAGGTGTCCCGCAGTCCATCTTTTAAATTTAGTTTATTGTGCTTATCCCTCGGTTACCTGTCAGTACTCTCAGAGGCATAAACGAGAAAGACGTCGTCGAACTTCAGTCTAATATCTCCCGGTCTATAAGCGATACAACATACGATGTTTTCAAACACGAAAAAAATGAGCCGTCAAACGTTAAAATCCATGCAGTAGTTACAGAGATATGACTGAATACTTACAAACCCACAGGTAATAAAAACCAACCCCGGAGGGATGACATTTTAGGGGTTGTTAATTGCATTCCATATGTTTATAGGTATTTGTAGTCAAATTAGACGACGAAAAAATGTTTTAAAAACCACTTATAAGAACCAACCCTTATTTTAGGGGTTGCTTGGTCGTCTAGTTGTCATTTTTACGACGAGCTACCCCAGTTTTAAAAAAATGAAGCTTCTACGTCAAGCGGAAGCCGAGACATTGCAAAATTTTCGAGCAGGCACGATTTTGAATCTGTTTTTCCAGCACGTTTCCCCCCCTTCGCCGACTGAACGAGCTAAGAAACTCCATTTTGAGTTACTACTAAGTTTTTTATTTATTCATGAATCTTAGACCTTTGTGCATATATAGCATTAATTTGAGCCCTTAATGTTTATAAACAATGGAGCTTTGATTTTTAAAAAAAAAGGGCTATCTCGGCCCAGAAAGAGCGTAGGGCATATTATTTTTTTTTTGTTTTTTTACCAGATTTCCAGTGAATGACTGTCGTGTTCCTGAGACCAGTAGTTCCGGAGTTACTTCTATTTATTTATAAAAAAAANTAATTGAAAGCATTAAATTTATTTAGCAGTTATTATTTGGCAACAAAGCCACCGCTGGAACTGCCGCCTATTAGCAAGTAGAAGAGTTACCACGCTAAATTTTATAGTTGGAAGCCGGCTAAGGAGACCCTGCTTCCATTTCGGGTTGCCAATTTCCAGCATTTAAGTAGCAGTCTGTAGCGATACGCTATATTGTCTGTGCCAATAGTTTCGATAGTCACGTGCTTGATCAATCTTTAAATAGGGATGTTAATAACATATGAAAACGGGGGCAAAAGATTTTATTTTCTACGAGGTGTTTTTAACAAGGTTGGAAGTTTCGAAGCTCTATTCTTTCAGTGACGGTATGCTGTGTTTGTTTTCATTTTTATTGTCAAGTTTTTGTGATGAATAAACATTTTCACGAATTAAGAAAGAGTCCATATGGCTCCTGATCCTAAAATTTCCTGCCTTTTTTTAAATTATGAGGTTTGACAACAATATTACTGTTATAAAAGCAAAAATATTTTTTTGGAATATGTAGTACCTACGTTACCACATATGTTGCTAATTTTTATTAGAAATAAATAAGAAATCGCCTTTATTATTATTAAAACATACTTAAAAACCACCCTGTCGCAACATTTTATTACTTTCGCCACCTGCTTCACTTGACAGAAGGTCCCTCGTGACTCAACAAGTAACAAAAATCGCATTTTATTGAACGAACTGAGACAAACTCACCCTTCTCGCAGACGTAACCAGCGACAGTGATGCCTAGACCGAGGTCGTCCTTTTTCAGTTCGACGACGTAGGTCTCCGTTTCTGGCAAGTCGGACTCGTGCAGCGTCAGGTCCATGGGGAGCATTTTCGGGAAACTGTTGTGTACCTCGGCCGGGACATAGGGCACATTAGCTCTAGGGTCCCTGGCCATCTCCACCATCCCGGAAATACCCTGCAATTAAGCGTTAAAAGGTCGTAGTGGAGCTGAGATTTGTCGGGTTGGAAAGGATAAGGGGATAATTAGGAGAGGCTACATAATACTGTTACATAAGAGGGGTAATTAATATCCCAAACCCCATTGTGAGCCGATACGTCGAAGTGTAGATTCGTGTCGCGAAATTTAGTTCAAAGAACTAAGCTCTTTATAGGAGGTGTTGTAGCAGAACAAAGCTTCTCTTCTCTTCTCGCTTCTCTTACGAAAAATGCAATTTAAAAAAAAATCTTGTCGATATTTTTTGATACCAGAAATCTAGTAATGCAAACGGTATTTAACACCACAGACAAGATCCACATTTTTCTGTTACTTGTTTCATCAGGTAGCTTTCTTGTGAATGAAATTAATAAACTACAGGCACACAAAAAAATGACAGGACCTAGAGGGTAGACCCCCACCCTTCCGTTTTTGGGGTCGCTGACACCGAATATGTCCATTAAAAATAAATTTAACTAGCCATTTCCCCGTTACCACCCCCATACACCCCCTTCTGGGAATTTAAATGTCAATTCGCATACAAAGTCGAGTAGGGTGTGTATTCCTATGTTTTCTTGGCCACTAAGAACAAAGAGGACTACCAAAAGCGAATTAGACCCCCTCGTTACCCCCTAGCTTCTCTTTACCACCCCCGTACACTATTTTCTGGAAGTTGAAATGTCAAATCTCATACAAAGTCCAGTAGGGTGAGTATTCCTTTGTTTTCTGGGCCACTAAGAACGAAGAAGTCTACCAAAAATGAATAAGACCCCGTCGTTACCCCCTAAGGTCACTTTACCACCCGCATACACCCCTTTATGGGGCTTGAAGCGTCAATTTTCATACAAAGTCGAGTGGGTTGTGTATGCCTATGTTTTCTAGGATGCTGAAAACAAATGTGGGTGGCAAAGAGTGCTGAGGGTTGAGGAGGGGGTTGGATTCATTTTCGGTAGTTCTTTGTTTTCAGCAGCCTGGAAAATGTAAGCATACACAACCTATTCGACTTTGTATGAAAACTGACACTTCAACCCCCATAAAGGGGTGTATGGGGGTGGTAAAGTGACGCTAGGGGGTAATTCATTTTTGGTTGTCTTCTTCGTTCTTAGTGGCCCAGAAAACAAAGGAATACTCACCCTACTCGACTTTGTATGACTCCCACAACTCCCAGAAGGGATGGTAACAGGAAAATGGCTACTCACATTTTTTTAATGGTCATATTCGGTTTCAGCGACCCCAAAAACGAAGGGGTAGGGGGGGGTCTACCCCTCTGGGTCTTGACATTTTTTTGTGCCTGTGATATTAATAGAGGAAAATTACATATAAAAAACAAAACTTTTAGAAAAAATTACATTTTAAAACGACAGTTTCAAAAGTGGTAATTACGACTAGATTTATGTGAACTGTTTTTTGGGTAATCAATATTTGTAGCAATTTTCTACGTGTTGATCTTTGTCAATTGTAATAACATAATAGCAGGAATGCAAGATATTCCTTTAAAATGATTATATTATTTAACAATTTCAGTCAAAAAAATTGTATCATTCGAGTTAATTTGACCTTCATTTGACCTTGACCTTGATATGATGAGGTCATATAGACGTCGGGATCACGATCAGCAAACCCAAAAACATAAGAGTTAACTGGTTCGAGAGCCATTTCTAGCTAAGAGAGATCAAAAGAAGGATTTAACCTCTAGATCACCTGCAAATGACATTCAGAAGTCGAAGCGTATTCGGACGTATTCTCCACTCTTTCAAAATTCGGGATCAAAAAAATGGTATCAATCGAGTTAATGTGTTTGACCTTCATTTGACCTTGATCTAGACTTGATGGGGTCATATGGACGCCGGGATCGTGATCACGACCCCACAAACATGAAGGCAACCTGGTCTGGGAAAATAGATTTTTCGATTTCTGTTTGTGTGTGTGTTTATGGACATATTTTTACTTTTTTATTTTGGATAATGATTTAATAGTTGTTTGCTGCAATATCAACAATTAAGAGAATTCATATCTCGATTATTACGATATCTTGTAACTGTATAAAATACAGGCTTAGGGTGTTTTAAATGGTGGATCCTGCATAGTATTTTCCTGCAATATCAACAGTCTTGAATCGAAGAATACTGTTTGACTTCATTTGATGAGGTTTTTTTAAAGACCTTTAGAAGGGATTAGAGTAAAAAGACAGATAATAATAATTATTATTAATTGGATGTAGCACATTCGAGATATAGACCTAACTTATGTTATTATCTATTGAATATCTTGTATATCTTTGGATCACTGGAAAGACCGTGCAAAAAGTTTTTAAATATTATATTATATTATATTNGATCGCATGATGGCGTTGTATAGTTGTTTACCCAGTATCGTTTAGTTAAACTTAAGACGATCAACAGTTGGTATCTTGGAAACTAAAATTTTCTGGGATATGCGAATGTTTGCCAGATGTTTTATTGCCGGAATTTCAAATATTATATAAATTGCTAGGTAGAAGGTTGTTAAAAATTATACCAAAGCAGACTTATTCACATTTATACCTTTGTAGCGTGTACACTTATTATTTTAAGTGTATTATAATTATATTATATTATATTATATTATACTCATCAACAATAGTTTTGGAGACACTGCATATTTATTCTTAATATGTTAACAAACAACAACAAATAATGTTATTTCCCACTGTATCTCCATTCAATCATTCGGTTTTTTATTTTTTAATGATTTTATTGCCTCCCATTTGGTATCGATGTTTTAAAACTACGTTTTGAAGAACAAATTCTATAGTCTTATAACGTATACTCGTGTGTCATTTAAAAAATACCTAAATATTTTTGATTTACTACAAATTAAATAGGAATGTTTTGACAAATTTTGTTATTTTAAGAAAATTGTCACTATATCGTAATTTTCTGCTTGTGGAAACATTTTACTCCATTTAGTCGACAGATTAACATAATTTTTTTAATTATCAATGTTCACCCAAGGCTACTACGTATATCTCGAAAACTGTTAAATATGAATATCAAAATATTTGTATAGCTATTCCGGAGGTCTAGTGTGAAGATCTACAGATTGAAAAACACAAGTTAGATCTTTATCCCGAAAAAGCAAAATTCAGGTATCTTTATGTTAAGTGTATCGAAATATTTATTTCTAAAAATCGCTACAATTTTCGATCTGTTTTATATCTCGAACAACAACGGAGGAAAATAATGTAGCATTTTCGAGTACACTGTACATAATCATGATTTAGAATTTATGCGCAGGTGTTTTAAAAATATCTACTCAAAACTGAAGGTACTTATCTAAAAAAGCTTTTGAAGAAATTGTAAGTCTCAAATATCTTATATAAAAGATAAAATAATAATTTCAATTTCAATTCAATAATTTTAATTTCAACAAACGGTTCCTCGGTTTATGAAATATGCAATTACCGCAACGTGCATCGTTATTTATAATAATAATTTTAACAACTGCGATATGTTGAATATTATATCGAGTTTAAAAAATGATTAAATACCTATGTACCATTGTTTTCCTTTGAAAGAAGATTTTGTGTCCTCTGTAGATGATACTTTTAGTCTCATAAAATGCTTGGCTTACTAGTTTTCATAATATTGAAGAGCAGTTGCTCTAAATAAACTAAAGAGGCATTCATTTTTAATTTGTTCCTAATTGTTGCATTTTTTCATTATGTATTCCCATTTTTGCAACTAATGAAAAAGTTGAAAAACTGTTAACTTGTTTGTTTCAATGGTATCTATTATTCAGAGTAGTTCTATTATGTATAATTTACATTTGGAGAATTAGATACACATTTACAGCATCAAACCCTCTCATCTATATTTCTCCCATAACGACAGTTAATTATGTTTTCAAGCAAACTCAACTTGTTTCAACATGACACTGAACAGAACTAACCCAGTTAAAATAGTTTGGGGGTTTCTCTAATTTGCTGTACATTCTACTGATGAATCTGGCGCGCCAAGCATCTATGTGGTTACTTTGTATCGAACTATCCAGATATCAATTACCTAGCCAACCCGCAGTCTTTAGAGTAACACCTGTGGTGTGGTGGAAACTTGCGAGAATTTACTAAAAGGATAGCTTAGAAAAATGTAATAGTACTGAGAAAGTTGTATGCATGGAACTAACGGTACTTTTGTTTTGGAAATGTTTCCTTGCTGAAGTTTTACACAGTTTCTTTGACAAATGGAAGCTGGGTTAATTTCAGACATTTTTTTCTTATATGAACATAAGTCCGATTATAATTTGTATAATTTTTTTATTCATTTGACACTTAGCGTTACAACTGAATATTGTCTTCGTACATGGGTATTCCGATTGGATGCCAGACAAGCAGCCCGAGTATACCGACGAAGATACCCAAATAGATACCAAGTACCAACATGCCCAGACAGTCCTTAGTGCATCACTTCGTACACTTCGAGAAGAAGAATCTTCATTTATCACCGAATTTTATATGGCGTGTATTGAACAGAGAAATTTAACATCCATTTCATCGCTAAAATGTACAACCGTTATAAGCTGGAGATGCTCTTCAGCGATTATAATTTGTTGCTGGTTACATCAACAACATGCCCAAAATGAAAGATTCATTCGCTTGTCTTGTACTCTGATAAAGCATGGTTTACGAGGGACGACATAAATATTAATCATATTGATCATTTCTGGGCGTTACAAAATCACCATGCAATTAGATCAAGACGATTTCAGCAACGTTTAGTGTCAACATTTTCAACAATAATTTACTGCCTGTAAGTGTTTTAAGTTATTGTTTAAATGCAGATCCGCAAGGCTTAATATTTTCCAAAAAAAGTGGTATCAGCACGGTGGTGCACCACCACATAGAGGGAGACAAGTCTGCTTGGTTTAATGATCATTTCCCGAATAAGTGGATAGGTCAACAAGGTCCAACAGCATGGCCACCAGGTTCCCCAGATTTAAATCCT